TATTTTTTGTAGAATTCATTGTGTTGAATCCTCAAGTACAGTTGAACTCCATCCTTTGAAACAAAGGCATTTTACATTTGCAGATAATGTATTTTTATTCTCATAGTTTGTTTTTAAATTTACTTGCAGCGGTCAAGTTAAATAAAACTTGTTACACAGTTCTGTTCTCTGTGAGGGGAAGGGACCTGGAATGAGATTTTACTGGGAGTTTCTCATTCCAGATATGCTTGAATTGGAGCCTCTCTGCCTCCTTGGTGAGGAAGAAAGGGGAGAGAGTACAGCTGCAATTGTGGGGTGTGGGGGTACACACAGAGATCTCTCCCCACCCTGGCACCTCTCAAGCTGTGGTTCTCACTCTCCCAGCAACCCTGGACTGGGTTATTTGGGACAGAGCATGTCCCCACACGTGAGCACAGGAGCGCAGGCACTTTGTAGCTGCTGCAGTGTGTTCTGTTCTGAGCAGACATGGGTTATGCCTTTAATGGGGCAAGGAAAGAGCAACTGACAAAAGCTTAACAAAACAAAGGAGAAATAAGGCACCAGTTAAACAGAGGAGTTAAGGAATGGGCAGAGTCACTCTCTGTGGAGGAAAGTGAGCTTTAATCACAGGCAGGGTGAGAGGGCTGGAGGAAAGGGGAGGGCAGCACCAGCTCCTCAGGCATCAGAAAGTGAGTCACAGTATGACACAGGGAGGTCAGTCCATCCCACTGCACACCACGCATGGACACTGGAGTGACTGTTCTGACACATTTCTTCATTTGACACTCCATCAAAACATCATGGTGACTTTCTTTCCCTGCAGCCTGGGATGGGAGATTAGCAGAAAAGGAGGGGAGGGGGCTCAAAAGAACAAGTGTGGCAGAAAAGTGGCTCAGCTTAATGCTTTAGTGTGTTTCAGTGGAAGGGGATGGGTGGCCACACTACGTCTCACAGTCCTCAGGAATCGTTGTAGTTATAATCAGCGATTGCTCAATCACATCCGCAGGGGAGAAGTTCTCATTTGAGCAGAGTTTCTGTGCAGGGACCTCCTCAGGCAGTGGCCCACGGGCCAGCGACTCCACGATCACCTCGGCTGAGCCCACCTCCAGCTCTGGCGGCGGCTGCAGCACCACCATCACATCCTTCTCATCCTCGATGATCAGGTTCCGCAGCTTCCGCTGCCGAGGGTTGTAGTTCTCCACTCGGTCGTGGATCTCCATGTGGCGCCTCAAGTGAGCCTGCAAAGGAAGGGGAGCGTGGAGAGACCCAGTGAGGGCTGGCTCCCCAGTGCACCAGGGGGTCCTGGAGCTGGGGAAGGCCTCACCTGCCGTGTGAATTTGTAGCCACACTCAATGCACTCAAACTTCCTCACTCCCTTGTGCCGGCGAACATGGACACGCAGCTGTTCTACCGCTGGGAAGGGAAATGAGAGCCTGTTGGCAGCAGCTCCATGTCATACCGGCTCACAGCAATGCCAACCCACCCACGGGAAGGAGGCAGCTCCTGCAGAGCCCCACAAGAACTGGAGCCCCATGTTACCTTTGAACGTCTTCCCGCAGATGTGGCAGAAGTGGGGCCGCCCCTCCTGGTGCCGGCTGGCGACGTGCCTCAGCAGTGGCCCCTTCTCTGTGAAACGCTGCTCACAAAACTCGCAGCTGAACGGCCGCTCCCCGGTGTGCGTCCGGTTGTGCTTGTCCAGGCTCGCTGCCGTTAAGAGGGGCAGACACAGAGAGTGGCTGGTCAGAAGCACAGCCCATGCAACCCCATCCCAGAGGCTGTCAGGCTGGGCCAGGCTGGCCAGGAAGGCAAAAGCAACACAAGGAGCTGCCTGCTCCTGCTAAAGGTCATGAGCAACTTCAGCTTGTTCCCTTTCTGTGCCATGAGAGCAGAGCAGGTGACAGGAACATGCTTTTCTTGCTATCTGCCTGCACACACAAGAGCATGGCTTTGCTCCTGGGGAAGCTGCTTTCTGGAGATCCTGAATGCTGGAGCCCTAACCCTGCCCCAGCCAGGGGTACCTTGTGTCCGGAAGGTCTTGCCACAGAGATGGCACTGGAAGGGTTTCTCGCCAGTGTGCGTGCGCAGGTGCATGTTGAGGTTGGCTTTCTGCGTGAAGGCGTGGTGGCAGAACTCACACACGTAGGGCCGCTCGTTCCTGTGGGCAGAGAAACATCACCATCACCTCTGCCAGCTTCAGCCCCTTGGGTCTCAGCCCAGCACTCTGTGAGGAGGGTGACTTTCAGCCAACCCCCAGGCCTGCGGGGCAGGACTGCAGCCAGGAGAGCTAAGGGGACATAAGAGAGGACACGGGTGACATTGTACCTGTGCTTGGCCTTGATGTGCATCTGGAGGCCGTTGCGGCTCGAGGCCCTGTGCCCGCACTCCTCGCACACAAACAGCTTCTCTCCGCGGTGCTTGAAGGCCTCGTGTAGGCGCAGCTCTGTCCGGGACAGAAAGCACTTGGAGCAGGTTGAGCACTGCAAGGCCACAGGAGAGGAACGGGTGTTAGGGTTGGGGTACACCCACCCCAGACCCACTCACACCTGGCCTTTCCCCAGCTGCTCCAGGGACCTCCCTGCCGAAGCCAAGGCAGCACCACCAGCTCAGAGACACCCACTAAGATGGGACAGCCCAACAGAGATGAAGTGCTGGTCAGTGCTTGGATCTGTGGGCTGCTCCTGTACCCAACAGAGCCCATTTCCAGTAGCACTGTGCCCCACCCCTCACTGAAAGAGCCAGACATAATGTTATGCCATTCCATAGGCCAGGTCGACATTCAGGATCACACCCTCCCCAAAACCCCTGGTCCCTACCGCATGGGGCTTGGGTGCACCGTGCAGCTTTATCATGTGGCTCTGCAGGTCCTTCTTCTGCATGAACTGCTGCGAGCACGAGGAGCACTGCAAGACAGGAGAATGGGGTCAGCTTCCAGCTGCCCCCAAAGTGTGGTTTCAGAGCAAGGAGAGGACTGACAGGAGAGTAGAACACAAATTCCTGGTACAGCCATGGGAAGCCTTTGGCTGTGGTGCCTCCCTGGATCACACTTTGGTTCAGAGACAGGGAACAACCCTGAGTGGGCTGTCATGGACCAGGGCTGGGCTGCCCTAGAAGGGAAAGGCTCGTCCCTGCTCCATGCCAGTGTCCAGCAGCATCCATAGGGATGTCGGATGCAGGCCATGCTGACCTTGTATGGCATCTCCCCAGTGTGTGACACCATGTGCAGCCGCAGCTCCATCCGCCGCTTGAACACCTCCGGGCAGGCCGAGCACGTGAATACCTGTGACAGACGGGGTGACATTGGCTTCCACAGCACCCAGAGCCTGACCCGGAGCCCACAGCTCAGCCTCCTGCCCAGCACATGGCACTGGCACCCAGCTACAGCATTCAGCCTGTACCAACAGGAGCTGAATTGTGCACAGTACAGCCCTGGTGTGCTGAAACACAAGTGAGGGCTGTGTTGTGTATCAGGCGTGAGTCCCAGCCACAGAGGCCCTGGCTGTGGGGGTCCCAGCCATGGAACATGTGCCACACAGTGCTGGCAGGGGTTTGTCTGGGACTGAGTGTGGGCTGGGAATGGGAAAAGGCTCCAATTCCCCTGCTATCACATGGCAGCCGCACTCCAGCCCAGCAGGGCAGCTCCTGGGCGTACCTGTTCCGATCGGTTCATGCAGTTCCTGGCTTCGTGTTCCAGGAGATTCTCTTTTCTAAAGTAACATTTGCCACACTTGGAACACTCAAATGGCTTCTCTCCAGTGTGTTTCCTTGGGGTATGCAAATACAGAAGCCCATCACTGCCTGTCAACAGCATCTGCACAAACAGGCCCAGGAGGTCACAGGGAAGGGTGAGGTGGGTGCTTCCCCCCACCCCCGCAGTGCTACTATTCACAGCTGCCCTAAAGCTGCTTTATGCCACTTTTGAGTCCCCTCAACAGTACAGCTGTCAGTGCCCACTGCACTCCATGGAACACCATTTCTGCAGGGCCAAGATCCTTCCCCAACAAAAGCAAAGCTTGAGCTCTCACTGCAGGGCCATGCCCTGCTCTCGGTGATCCACCCTGGAGCTCCTCACCAAGCCCAGCCATGTGTCCCCAGCAACCCCAGAAACTCCCCCTCAGCCTGGGGCATTCCAAAGCCCAGGGGGATTTGCCATTGCCCACCTGCAGCTAGCTCAGCCCCCAAAGAGCCCCTCACCTGGCCCTCCTAAGCCACAGCTCAGGACAGTCACTGCAGCTCTGGGAAGTCTTTAATTGATGTATAACCCACCCCGAGGGGCAGAGGAGACCCTCCTTGAGCAGCCCGGGGATGCCGAGGTGCCGGGACTAGCCGGCAGAAAGGAGGCCGCCCTTTCCCCCCACCCGGGAAGGGGCCGAGCCGTGGGGCGGCGCGCACGGGGAAGGAGAAGCCGGAGCGTTTACCTGTTGTGCACTTTAAGGTAATATTTGCTGAGGAAGGTTTTATGACATGTGGGGCACTCGACCGGCACCGCTGTACCTTTCCTGCTCCCCGGCGCCTTTCCCGGAGCGGGGGGGCTCTTTTCGCTCCGCAGCACCTTTTTCTCGGGAAGGGGCTCGGCGTCGCCGTCCCCCCGCCCGCCGCCACCCACCGCCGCCTCCTCCGGGGCTGAGGGGGAGCCCTGCGAGGGAACAGCGGCGTCACCGCGCCGCCCCCGCCGGGCGGCGGGGCCGCGGGCGGAAGGCTCGGCACAGCGCCACGGCGTCGGGCACGCCGAGCTGCTCGGCGGCCGCCAGCAGGCGGGCGCGGTTGTGCGCCGTGAGCGCCAGGCGGCCGGTGTAGAAGAAGTCGAGCAGCAGCTGGAAGGTGTCGGCGAGGCCGTCGGGCAGCGCCACGGGCCCGCCGGTGCCGCAGGCGCGGAAGAAGCGGGAGCAGCTGGCGAGCACCGGCCAGTGCGCGCGGAACTCGCGGCCGCCCACGCCCAGCGTGGCGTCGCAGAACTGCCCGGCTGCGCGCTGCCGGTTCAGCTCCCGCAGCACCCGCACGCTGTGCGCCGCCGCCGCCGCCATGGCCGCGCACCGGAGCCCGCCGGCAGCCGCCGCCGCCGGACGTGGCGTCAGCGGGCGCCGGCAGTGACGGTGAGAGCGGCCGGGGCGGGCCGGGCCCGCGGCGGTGCGGGTGGAACCGCGCGGCTCAGGCGGCGGCCAGGCGGCGCGTGTACTCCTGGATGGCCATCTGGAAGTGCTCGGCCGTGTTCTGGTGCGGCCGCAGCAGGATGACGAAGGCCCGCGGCACGAAGTACCCGCCCAGCACCGCTGCCAGCGTGCCCAGCGTGCCGAGCACCCGCGCCGCCGTGTCGGCCCGGCCGCGCAGCGCGCCCTGCGAGCAGAGCACGGCGGCCGAGCAGCCCAGGTGTAGCAGCAGGCTCACGGTCAGGCTCTTGGCCTCGTTGTAGGCGGCGGGCAGGTCCGTGCCCGCGTAGCTGAGCGCGAAGCAGCCGGCGCTGAGCAGCAACGTGTAGGCGATGGCGGCGTCGGCCGCGTCGCTCTGGGCGCACTCCAGCACCACCCTGTCGGCCCACACGCGGTACTCCCGGCGCGGCACCGAGGGGCTCACGGCCTCGGTGGCCACGCACAGCGCCACTTGTGCCGCCGTGCTGGCGGCCACGAACAGCACCGGCCCCTGGCGCCGCATCCAGGCCTCGTAGAGCGCGGGCCAGCGCGCGTTCAGCTTGAAGATGCAGAGGATCTGGAAGGAGCGGGTCGCCACGCACGACAGGAACACGGTGAAGCTGATGGCGAAGAGCGGCACCCGCAGCAGGCACGCCGCCTGCGAGGGCTCCCCGAAATAGCAGAAGAGGCTGCTGCAGGTGCAGGCCAGGGAGCCCAGCATGAGGAAACACGTCTTCCCGCCCGCGGACTTGACCACGGGTGTGGAAGCATTGAGGGCGAACAGGACAACCAGCGCCGCTATGAGCAGCATGAGAAGAGCAGCCAAGGCCAGCAGCACCCAGGAGAGGGGCTCGGACCAGGACAGGAACTCGACGGTGCGGTTGAAGCAGACCTCGCTCCCTGCTGGGGACCACTCATCCAAGCCACAGGCCTGGCAGTCAAAGGGGTCTGCGGAGGACACGGACACCTCACACACCTCGGACCCGGTAAGAGCTCTGCCACGGTGCGGGGCCCGGCCCGCAGCTCCCTGGGCTCTGCTCTCCCATCGCACCTGCTCGTTCCTGCGGGCATTCCCAGCCCTGGCGTGGCAGAGAGGGCTCTTTTCCCAAAAGACCTCCCACCTAAAATTGGCCCCGTGGACTCTCCCAAAATCCATGGCCTGGGCTGAGACAGGAGCTCAGCTGTGTGAGGCGCAGGGCCATGGGTGCTGTGGATGTGAAGGGGCCCATGCATCAAGCAGTAACCTGGGAATGATCTGCAGCAGCTGCTGTTCAATGGGACAGTACCATGTAGGGGGGCGTTGTGCTCCCAGTGTCCCCAGAGCTGCCCCTGCCCGCTCCACAGGCCAAGGGTGCTGAGGCACTAGCTGCCAGGAAGGGGTGTGTTGTTGTGGCTGGTGATTCTGAGGCAGGAGACATTTCCATATGCCAGGTGCTGATGATCACATAGCAGAAGCCCCATGTGCTATCTGAGGCACAAAGGCAACCACTAGGTTGAATTTCCCTGGCAGAGGATGCGGTGCAGGGAACAGCTACCGGGCCGGACATCCCCATTCCCTGGCCACAGGCAAAGGAGCTCTGTTTGCCCAGGTGGGCTCACCTGTGGGCAGTACTCCCCGGAAAGCACAGGGCATGGGCTTTGCATACCCACTGGTAAGCAAACAGGAGCCAGACCCACTACCTTCAGGTCAGCTCAGAGGTTTCACTGACCACAGGAGGTGAGAGGCTGGGAATGGCGAGACAGGAGCAGGTGGTAGGATGTGGGCAGGGGAGGAAAGGGCAGGAGCAAACCCTGTGGTGTACTGACCCGATGTGTTCAGGAAGGTTCCTGGTGGACAGGCCACACAGCTGAAGCAGCATTTGTGGCGGCTCTGCTGCAGCCGCATCTCTCCTGGCTTACAGGCCTCAGAGCACACGGAGCTGGGAGCCTGCCAGGAGCACAGACAGGGTCAGGCTGGCAAGCAGCAGCACTCTGCCACCCCCCCATACTGCCTTGGCCCTCACTTTTGCCCTGCTGTGAGAAACAACCCAGAACTGGCGGCATTGGGATGCAATCAGCTCAAAAGTGAGCAGTAAATAAGACCTGGGTGCAGAACAGTACCTGGCCATCTTCTGTGTGCCACAGGATTTTGCCTGGGTCGATGCTCAGCCTCTCAGGGTTCACACGGAAGGTTCCTATCACATCAGAAGCCCAGTTTGAGCCCAGCCACTTCCACATGACAATGTCATAGCCTTTTTGAATGTCCCCGTGGGCATCGAAAGAGATTCGGCTCTCGTAGAGGGTGAAGTTTACTTCCCTAATCTTTTGTAGGAGCTGTAAAACAGAAGAGTAAGAGAGGAGCCGTTCCAATGGCATGACTCCTGCCACTGGAGGGAGATGTGCTGGAGGATACTTCCTCTGTCCTGCAGCTGCTTTCAAGCCCCCCAACATCTGCAGGAAGTGAGGGGCTGGTGGTAGAGGAACAAGTGACCTAGGATGAAGTCTAGGTCTTGGCTGCTCTGACTGTGAGGGGCACCTGAAGCCCACAAGGGTCTTCAGCTGGGATTTGAGCCTTTGAGAAAGACAGGAAGCCTTTGGGCACAATGGAAAAACCCTTCCCTGTGGGAAGGGATCCTCATGGATCTTCTTCCACAAGGTTGCTCTTACCTGCCAGGGATAGACAGTGCCTTTGCTGCAGGCCCCCGAGGCACAGCCCAGCAGGTCATGGAGGCCATGGGCCACAGCATACACGGCCGAGTACACGTTGAAGGAGCCTTGAGCATCATACATGTCAGGGACAGTGGCGCGCACACGGCAGCCGGTGCAGCGCTGGGTGCAGTCCAGCCGTGCATTCCCCACAGATTCGCTGCCTGCCTCTGCACTGCTGGCACTCTCAGCCACAGCGCCTTCCTCCCACATCCTCCAAGCTTCAAAGCGTTCCAGCATCGTGGGCTCTGGCTTCTCTACTGCCATCCCAAACACCGAACCGATGGTGTGGATGCCAGGAACCTGCCAGATAGTTTGAGCCAACGACCAGTCTTCAGAGGCCACCCACACCATGCCCGTGACGTTCCTCTGGACCACCACCTCGAAGAACGGCAGAACGCTTCCTCTGTTGGAGAACACGACAGTGACGTTGACCTTGACCTCTGTGAGGATTTGGACCAGGTTGTGAAGCTCTGGGTTGTTGGCGTCAGAGTTGGCGGGGATGGTGGCTCGGTAGCCCACGCACACGTTGCTCGCGGTCAGCAGCTCCTGCAGGGCATCCAGGCCAGTCCTGCCATAGATGTTGTCGCTGCCCAGCAGTGCCACCCAGGTCCAGCCAAAGTGCTGCAGCAGCAAGAAGATGGCCTTCACCTGCTGCCTGTCACTGGGGATGGTGCGCAGGAAAGAGGGGTACAGCCGCTTCAGGCTCAGCAACTCCGTGGAGGCTTCGTAGCTGATCTGCAATGAGATCCAGGGGAAAGGGGGATGCACTGGCCCAGGCAGCTGCACCCCTGAGAGCTAATTGCATGGACAGCCTGTCCTGGGAAGACTTGGAGCTGGGCAGGCAGTGGACCCAGTGCCAAGCGTGCTGAAGCAGGAGAAAGCTGTGATGGATGGCAAGTCAGCCCTCTGACTGCCTGAAAAGATCCTGTGACAGCACACACAGAGCAGCTGCATTTCCAGCTCTACCAGGCTCCTCAGGTCTGAGCCCACCCTCCCTGAAACCATCACTCCTTGGGATCCCTGGTTTTCATCAGCCATAGAAGCTGCACTTACCTCTGGTACAAGAAAGAGGCTGAGAACAGCGGCTGTGGTGAGGGCCAGGCGCGTACTGTCAGGGCCAATGACAGCCACAGCCTGGGGTTCATAGTGTTGGAAACTGGGGAGCACCTGCACACCCTGCCTGCCCTTACGAGCAAGGGCACACAGCGTGGCGTGGAAATTGGTAGGCTCAGAGCAGGTGTCGTAGATCTCGTAGCCCAGGGTGACATTAGGGAGCAGCGTGGTGGAGTTGTTGATCTCCTCCACAGCGAAGCGCAGGGCCTGGGACAGGCAGTAGCCGTGGCTCTTGAAGGCGGCGCTATGGAATGGAGAGTGGTTGTTAGGGAGGACTAAAGGGGACTAAGGGACAGCGCTTTGGGGGCACGGGCAGCGCGGGCACTCACTCGTCGCAGCCGCGCACGAGCAGGCTGGCCTCGTCCCGGTGCGCCTCGGTGTGCAGCGGGAACAGCCCGGCCAGGCGGTGATCGCCGCGCAGGCTGAAGGGAGAAGCGGCGGCGGCGGCGGCCGCGCAGAGGCACAGGCGGAGCAGCGCGGGCGGCAGCATCGTGGGGCGGCCCCGCGCCGCACCGGCGGGCGGCTCTTAACGGGGCGGCGGCGTCGGCGGTCATGCCCGCGCGGCGCAGCCGCCCCCGCCGGGCTTCGGCCCGTGCCCCGGCCCGCGCCAGCCGGGCGGAGGCAGCCTGGCGGGAGTTCGCCGCCTCCTTCACTCGCATCGGGATGGTGCCGCCGGCTGAGCCGGGGCTGGTGGCCGTGGAGGCGGCGGAGGGCTCGGCCGTGCTGCTGCTGGAGCCGCGGCAGGTGAGCAGCGCCCGCGGCGCGCCGGCCGCACCGCGCCCCGCAGCGCCTGACCGCCCGCTCTGTCCCGCAGGCGCTGACCTTCACCGGCAAGTGCCGCCTGCGCTGCCTCTATGGTGCCGTCCGCCTGCTGGGCTTCGCCGTGGCCTCTCACCACCCGGGACTGCCGGTCTTCTCGCCGGCCACGCACAGCGCGCTCAGCCTGGAGGCGCTGCCCGGCGCCCGCCCGCCCGCCGCCGCGCTCCGCCAGCTGCGCGCC